GATTAGAGGAGAATTGAGACTGCTCTAGATCATTTTTCAGATCTGGAATGAGGTGTACTGTCTTACCAACAAAGCAAAGACAAAACATTTGTTTGTGGACTTGTGTTACACTCCAGAACCACATTCCACATTTTATTAATTTACACAACAATACTACCTCATACTGGCTTGCATGGTTGTATAAAGGGACAAAATTTGTCCCCCTCTGCCTTTTATTCTATTTACTTACTCTTTGCAATGTTTTTCGTATGGGTAGACTTCTGTTGTATATTTCCTAATCCAAACAATACAGAAATTGCAGTACAGTATAGCATTTCCATCTTTTTCTAAGACTATACAAGTAATAGCGTCCCAATTCCTTTATTAGTAAAACAATGATACCACTCTGTGCTATAAAAAGAACGGACTATTGAAATAGAGTTCACAGCTGTAAAGTTGGGTTTTGTTGGGGTTTTTTTGCTTAACATATCATTTGTTGTGCAACCTATCTTTCTTCCTTTAAGGATTTACAGAACCTTATCCTTTTTGAGCTGATTTTCCTTTTTTTCAGCTTGGTGCCAAAGAGAACATAAAAGATTCCGTATGAGATTACATTGCTAAAACCAAAAGGAAAATATTAGGAACAAATATAATATTTTGAGGTTTCTTAGTTTGTTTTACCTCTAATACTGGGCAGACTGTTTACACAAATCATTTTGCTGTAAAGTAACGCATAATGAGTTAAATGTGTGCAATGTCACCATCAATCATGTTCATTTGTGTTTGACTGACCAAACATTTATGGCACATTAAATCACTTTCTAATCACGTTATGAAGGAGGAGGAACAAACAGCCGTTTCAAGCTTCCTTTAAAAAATACAGAAGTTTGAGTACATTTTTTCCTGGCAATCTCCTAACTTGTGGGAGACTCCACTAACAACGGTTGCCCAAGGAGTTCACGAACGTCTGACAGTACTTAAATTCAGTGTTCTAAATGAAAAGGCAAGGAAGTTCTTTCAGGGAATGGACATCTTTCTTTTCGATAGAGTCCTCTAACAATTCCAATCAATGCAGCTGCTCTCCTACGATACACTGTTGATTCACAGCCACCACTAAGTAATAGTTTTCTCTTTCAAA